CCATCTTTGCTTTTTGAGAAAAGGGTCACATAAGGCCTTCTACTTTTCTCAAATCGTCACATAAGGCCTTCTACTCACAAAAGTGTCACCAACATATATTTACTTTTAAAAAACGACCATATGAGGCATAATGACCGGTTAAAAACCCTCTGATCCCGGTTTTCGCTTACCTGTCACTCATTTTAGCAAATGTGTCATTTTTTTCCATGTCAGCCGCACCGTGTCCGAATACTCAGCATAAGTTAGACATATCTCGACATACCGGGTAAAAGAAAATAAGAGGATCGCTCATCCAATCTGACTGCGACTAGGATTTTGGAGAAAGATGGATTCCGCGATTGGGGACGATGATTGAGAGTGAGGTCTTTGTTTCGCTGCTTGGGTTGTGACTCGGTTCGTTCATTTGCATTTACAGGCTGCTTTGGGAAAGTAAGTCAGTTTGTTATGTTCAATTTCACTGATTTGTTTAAGTCTATTTAAGAATGTTTTTGAAAATTAATTGAAATTTGTATAGTTTAGGTGAAATTGTGAACGTGAAATCTACTAAAGTATCTAAAGAATTTGCATCTCAAGTCCTAAATTTCATTACCCTGTTTTTACCTCTAAGTTATAAAAGGATCATTCAATTCCTATATGTTCTTTCTTGCATGTATGAAGTTTCTTACAAATTTTGGAATTTGTTTTGGAGTCTCTTTGTTTTGTGTTAGCTATTTGAATAGTTACTCTACCAATCATGAAATAACAGTTGTGTAGTTACTCAAAAAATTGCAAGTATGAAGTTTCTTACAAATAACTATTTGAGAAGTTATCTATTTGAGTACTCAATCTGTCAATGTTCTCATTTTCAGAATGTTTTTAGAAGCTGAGTTGAAAATCTACCATGGAGAAAATTTCAAGAGAATACCAAATCTTGCATATGTAAATGGTGATGTTGAGACTATTGTTTTAGATCCAGATATAATTTCATACCCTCACTTGATGAAGTACATCACAGAGGATATGTATAAAAAAGTGGATTCACTGTCATTTAAATTGCCCGACGAGAGTCTAGACAGGTTAAGGCCATTATGCGATGATGCTACTACTCTATAGCTAATTGAGATGGCATTTATTTACGGTGTAGTAGAAGTGTATGTGGAGCACGGGATTGATGAACCTGAACTCGTTGACCACTTAGGGTTGCCTTCATCATTAACTGTGGAGGGAAACGATACTTCATCGAGAGTTGAGGCACATCATCACAGTGAGTTTGAAGACACGCTTGAAGAACAAAAAGACGGTGAGGTAGCACCAAATGGGGAGTGTGAAGAGCATGAAAAAGACATACGATATCGTGATGATCATGCTTCGTTTGAGGGTGAGGAAGATTTAAACGATGACAACGATGGGCAATTAAAAAAGGCTCAAAATGATTGGGTAAACAATAAGGGTACTGACACTAGTTCAGAGTCTGACTTTGACGGTGAGGAAGAATGTAGTGAGTATTATGACTCCGAAGACCCCCTAGTTTGCACTCAGAGTCTGAAAATGAAGAGGGTCATCCGGTGGATTCAAAAGTGAAGAAGAATTTTAGAGCTCCATCATACAATCGAAATTCAGATTCCAAAGAGCTTGAGTTGGAAATGTTGTTTGAAGATGCAAGGGAGTTCAAAACTGCTATAATAAACTATGCAGTTCATTTTAAGCGGGATCTTAGAAATTGTTGTAGGCATATACATGCAAATTGGAGTAAGAAGCACAGGGGAAAAGTGCTGAAAAAACATTTTTGGTTTTGTGCGAGAAGCACAACTCAAGCTCATTTTGAAGAACAAATGAAAGCGTTGTTGAAAGTTGATGATACAACAAAGTGTGATTTGGAACTCTATGACCCTCATCAGTGGTGCAAAGCGTATTTCAGAACTGAAGTCAAATGGGATATCCTAGACAACAACCTGTCTGAAGCTTTTAATAACACAATCAGAAAAGCTAGGCGCAAGCCAATAATTCCTATGTTAGAAGACATTCGAACTGCCACAATGAAGCGGATTGCTAAAAAGGTGAAGTTTGTGAGCGGATGGGCTTCCAGGCATGGACCTAGAATATTGAAAAAGTTAAATGCCAACACATATCAAAGCATGGGCTGGAAGGTTAGTGCGTGAATTCAGTTGGTGTATCATGTATATATAATATGTTATTAATGGATGATGTTTCATAACAGGTCATTTTTAATGGTGATGATGGGTATGAGGTTAAACGTGGGAGCCATCAGTATCAAGTCAGGCTAGAAGCAAGAAGCTGCTCATGTAGAGCTTGGGACTTGAGTGGAATTCCTTGCCCACACGCTGTGTGTGCAATTTTCGACAAAGGTGGGGATCCGGAGGATTATGTCGACCCTTGCTATTCAAAGGAGGTGTACCAGAGAATATATTCTTATCATCTTCAACCAATGAACGGGGAGTTGTTGTGGGCTAGGACACAAAATAATGATATCGCACCTCCGATTCCCAAAAAGATGTCTGGCAGACCCAAGAGAAAGAGAAAACGAGAACCAAGCGAAGGATTAGGTTCTCAAAAAGGAAGGACAACGATCTCAAGAAAAGGAAGAGTCATGAGTTGTTCGATATGTAAACAAGCAGGACATAATAAAGCAAAATGCCCGAATAAGACCTCAGATACACAGGAGACATCCACAGAACCTGCAAAGACAACAAGGACCGTCAAAGAAGCATCTGCCAATCTGAGAAAGAAAAGAAGAACTGAAACTAAAGCACCAAAGACCCCACCTGATGTAGGACCCTCTAGTGCAGCCATTTAGTTGTGTTTAGTAGTAATACATGTCATAGGACATTAATGTATTTGTTTTTGTCAGGCAATGACATTGCCTTTTCTGATTTTTGCTATGTTAGTGGTGCACTTGTGTTTGTTATTTTCTGTCTAAGAATTTGTACTCTGCACAATGCGTAATGGTCACTGATTTCAGTCCAAACATGTTAATCTAAAACTCATTTTGGCATTAACATTATAGTTGCATTTCAAAAGCAGGAGAATGTGTCCCCAAATGAGGCCATTACTTCTTGGCCTTACATACTGCACATAAACATGTGTTGAGCAGTAATACCAGATGAGAACATGATTCTGGAGCCATGATATTTATGGATGCACCTGTTTTGAAAAAGTTACAACCTTCATGAAAATCATGTCTACTTGGCTGATCCTGGTTATGTTTCTTAGAATTTGTGATTTTGTGACTACTTTTTATGACATTCCAGATACTTTTTGGTCATAAACTGTTTTCTGCCCTTAAGGTAAACTGGCTGCAATATTTACTCTAGATAGCAACACATAAGCAACTAGCTATGAGTTTCCCTTAAGGCACATATCATATACATGTATGTAAAGAAATCATAACAAAAAAGTTAAATATATAACCCTTGACTTTTAGAAATTCAAATTACAAATTACATCGTTATACAATGTTACTTCATAGCCATTGCAAGAACTACATAAAAATTCTTTACAAATTCTACTTTAATACACAGATCCTCATTACCATCGCTACCACAACAAATACAATTATAATTGTAATCAACATTATACAATTCCTCCTTTCTTGAATTTCGGATTGCAGTGCAGCTCGTAACTCACTCACTTCATGACCAACACTCATATTTTCATCTCTTAACTGATAAAGTAGCTTTCTGCCCTCCTCCCAGCTCAACTCTGAACTTTCCCATTTAGCATTACTCTCTTCTTTCCAAGCAAAGAACTTGCATCCTCCTCCTTGTGTCTATGTATAAAATCAAAAAATCAGTACAATGCTTCGTAGATCATCCCCCAATTAGGAAATGTTCAGAAAACAACCAGTTCCCACAAAAATCTGCCAAACGAAATACCCCTAAGATTAGACTTTTAGAAAATATTTATTTTCAAGATAAATCCTCCGAAACGAAAAACACTTTCATACAACTGGTTCACAATAATTTACTTTCCATCGTTGACACCCATAGAACTTCCGGCCACTTTCCCTTCCCACACACAAAGGTGCTTTTAATCCACAATTACAATACATAGCACGTTCGTAGTAGAGGTTTGAACCCATCCTTGAATTCGAGGTGAACGAACTTGAAGACATTTCAATCCAGGAGAACTTGAGCCGAGCTTAGCAATGAACCCTAGCTTTTTCTGGGAGATCAACGTTTGTTGACAAGAAAGCTTCTGGTCAAAGATTGACGATAAGGGACTGGCGTCTTCTCAAAAGCGTGGGTGGGTGGCCTTTTAAAATTGACGATAAGGGACTGACGTGGAATAAAAATTAAAGATTAACTAAAATGAGTGCCAGGTAAGCGGAAACCGGGATCAGAGGGTTTTTAACCGGTCATTATGCCTCATATGGTCGTTTTTAAAAGTAAGTATATGTTGGTGACACTTTTATGAGTAGAAGGCCTTATGTGACGATTTGAGAAAAGTAGAAGGCCTTATGTGACCCTTTTCTCTTGCTTTTTGGATGTCCCAAAAACTTTGTCACTTTCCTTTTTAATCAATAAATTTGTGGTTCCTGTTATTTCTCTCTCTTCTGCACATATCTGAATCACACAATTTTTACTTTATTATTTCTCGTGTCAGTCAAACATGACAAAACACTGAGAGAGGGAGGGAGTATAACTTTGGGAAAAGGGTCAGATAGGGCCTCAAACTTACAATAAAATGTCAAATAAGGCCTTATATAGGAGGTTCTGTTCGGCCGACACCATTTGAGGCAGTTTCCGGTGGAATTTTTCAATGAAACTTTTTGAGCATCTTATTCATTGAGTCTAGTTTAATCATACCAATTTTCATCTAAAACTTCAATAGGGAAGACATTCAAATAAATTCTTGAAGATAAGTGCGCAGTTAAAAGCACAATTATCTTCAAGAATTTATTTGAATGCCTTCCCGATTGAAGTTTTAACGGAAATCTGGTAAAAGTAAAGTAAACTTCATGAATAAAAAAATCCACCTGGAATCAGCCAAATGAAGCCGGCCGAACAAACGTACATAAGGCCTGACATTTTTTGTAAGTTGGAAGACACACCTTGGCTGAAACACATCGGCTGAAACACAAGCACAAAATGCACTGCAGCTAACAGTTTGTTTCTCCTTGCTCGCAAAACCCTATCCTCTTTTTTTTTTTTGGAAGAGAAACCCTATCCTCTTATATACACATAATAGTAAGAATTCAAGAATGGAGGTTTCGGATTCTGCCCGGCTACTCAATAATGCTGATAAACTAATCGATTGCGTTGAGACCTTCATATTTGACTGTGATGGTAAGCGCAACAATTCCTTCATGACCCTGTTATGTTTTTTTTGTTATATGCGCTTTTTAATGATAAGCAGCTTATTTAACACAATTATTTCAAAATTAATTTTTTTGCTTGTGATTATTTTGTACTTCACGTAATCACGTTATATTAGTCTACTGGTTGATCTTAGCACTCCTGACATACAATTTGATTTTATGTTTTAGTAAGTAACCTTAAATGGATAGCACAGTAAATTCTTGAATGCACTTAGAAATGATATCAAGCTTGTTAGGTGGTTATTGGTAACATCCCTTGTGAAGCATGATGGGTGTTAAATCTAAGACATTGTTAATAACTTAGATAAATTCCAAGCCTCTGATTGCATGGACCAATAATATTACAGGTAATTGGGTTTCATACGCTAAGACAAAATTTGTGCCTTTGAATGGAAAAGCTAAAAAACAATACCCTTACAAAAATGTGTCCTGTTTGGTTTTTCACGTAGTTTAAAAAATGTTACAGGTTTACCATACACTTCACAAAAAGTAAGAGGCTTTTGGTACTGTGTCAATACTATATACTTTATTAAAGTGTACTATAGCTGTTTTTTGGTATTTTTCTTTCCAAAAAAAGAAATGAGACAATTAATTTGATACAACCTGAAAAGGAAATTGGGTAAATTATTTTGATATGGAGGGAGCACCACTTTACATCGACACAAAAACAAATCTTTGAAAAGATATAAAAAATTAACATATAAAGGATTATGCTACTCCTCATATGCTATTCATGAGTCCTGAATCCTGATATGCTATTTGAACGCATAAAGTCTAAAATAACAATTCAACCTTGGTAAGCTGAAAAAATGAGCATACAAATTTCAATATTGGTATGCTCCAATGAACAATTGTCTCATATTAGATGGAGCCTACGTCTTAATGAAATACTGGTTGTGGTTTTTATCATTTGTGTTTTGTATCTTATAGGAGTTTTATGGAAGGGAGAAAAATTAATAGATGGAGTTCCCGAAACTCTTGATATGCTCAGGGCAAAGGTCAGCACTCTATGTACAAAGAAATCTATATCAGGTTTAGCATTGAGTTCACTATCACTTTGATGGAGACTGTAGTTTTATTTCTTTTATGATATAGTTGTAGCCTGGTATGAAACTTTTTTTTTGACAATTCACATGCTTTTTTGGCTGCACTTCACAGGGAAAGAGGTTAGTTTTTGTTACCAACAATTCAACAAAATCTAGGAAACAATATGGAGAAAAGTTCAAGGCACTTGGTCTTCATGTCACCGAGGTCTGTCTGTCATGGACTTCTTTTATCTTATACTCTGTATTATAAAGAATTAAAGACTCATTTGATAAACTAATCAAACTCTTTTTCTGCATGACAGGAAGAGATATTTGCATCATCATTTTCTGCTGCTGCTTACTTAAAGTCTATTGATTTCCCCAAAGATAAGAAGGTAGGTCGGATAGGTATTTATACATTGCTATCACATACAGAATAAGTAACTTCAGAGTTGTCGCTAGTAAGAGCATCACATGGAATCTGAATCTCAGGCTATGATGTATGTTTGGCCTTGTCAAAATGTTTTTTGGGTTTATATATAGGAGTAATACTACCTCTGTCCAAAAAAAGTAGTCAGATTTCGCCAAGGTAAAACTTCTTAGTTTTATTAATGTACATCTATTATAACTTATCAACTCTAGCTACATTTTTTAATTTACTTGTTGGTTTGACTATACTTAACTTGTTTGTGACACTTTTTGAGAAAACAAAATACATTTAGCTTGATGAAGAATAGCTTATTTTGTTCAAATAACTCTTTTTGGTGGCAAAAGTATGTTTTCAAACAAGACTCCTTTTTTGGGATGGTGGAGTAGTACCCTTTTTCATTAAATATTTTCCTTGCTTAAGTTAAGGTCTAATTCGTTTTCCTTTTCTGATTTTCTTCATTCATAGCAGTGCATTATTGGTCCAAAAATGGCTGATTGGCTGACTTGAACTGACATTCATTTTTTTTATAGGTTTACGTAATTGGTGAGGAAGGAATACTGGAAGAGATCGAGTTAGCTGGGTTCCAGTATCTTGGGGGGCCGGTAAGCCAAAATATCAGCAAATGTCATGTGATTTCACAATTATCTCTTACACACACTCATCATATGGTCCTTTATTGCTACCTTGTCTGTTTTTCAACACTTATGGCATTTGGGATTTTGCATATTATTCCATGCAGGCTGATGGTGGGAAAAAGATAGAACTAAAGCCTGGATTTGTAATGGAGCATGATGAGAATGTATGATTTTTTTTCACTAGGTGTAATTGTGCATCTTTCCATCATTTGCAATGGAGCCAAAAACTCACTAACTGTCTGTGCTTCTTTGTTATGAAGTAGCGGTCAGTCCAAGCAATTTTGGACGCGATGTTCACTATGGGTCATCCGGAAAGTCTCTATGTGCTTTAGTACAGGGTTAAGACTGCGTACATCCGACCCCCCCTTACCCCACCGTAGTTGGGAGCCTTTGCGGCATTGGGGTAATGATGATGATGAATGATGATGAGGTGTAATTGTGCATCATTTTGAAATAATTCCATGACTGGGCATGTAATAATAAGTCCACCATCAATGTTATGTAGTAGTACCTCCGTCCCTTAATTAAGTTTCACGCTTTGACTTGCACGGTTTCTCGAACATATCAAATATGTCACCATTTGGCTTCCAAGTTTTCCCTTGTGGTATGTAGTTGGGAGTCATTAATGGTTTGCAGGTTGGGGATTTTAAAGGAGGGTGTGAGGTAATGTGTTTTTAGCATATATGAAAAGAAAGGTATTAATGAAAAAAGAAAGGATGAACGTTATTTAGGGACAGGGGCCATTAGTAAGGTGCACTAAAAGTTCTGTCAATGTCCATTCAGGTTGGGGCCGTTGTTGTTGGATTTGATCGTAATTTCAATTACTTCAAAGTCCAGTAAGTTTCTATTTATTTAATCCTCTTCACATAGCAGAAAACTTGTTGAAGTTTTTTTAATGATTGTTTTAGAAGTGATGCCAACCCCTACTTCTGTTGATTATGTCCACCATTTTTGTTCTAAATGCTTAAGAGTCTTCTTGTGAAAGAGTGAAAGTAACATGCCTAAATTCTCAAAATTGTTCAAATTTGAGTTACTATGCAGAGGCTATCTGTGTGGGGGAAAGATTGATGGTGTTAGAGTAGATAGGCTTCATATTTATGCATTTATGCACTTCCTTGATTTTTTATTGGCCTCTAACGTTTTCTCTTTCCTTTGTTTCTTCTCCTGCTGCATATCAAACCCTTGGTTACGGTTATCAAAGGTATGGAACTTTGTGTATACGTAAAAATCCAGGGTGTCTATTCATTGCAACGAACCGCGATGCTGTCACTCATCTAACAGATGCTCAAGAATGGGCAGGTTCTTATTTTTATTATTTTGCCTCTTGTACAAATACCTTAACAAAACATTAACAATTCTCTCTGATTACATAAATATAGTCCCTCATTTGTTATAATTGAGATATTAGTACTTCCCATTAAAATCTTTATTGATCAAACATCATCCATTAAATGCTCTGGGAAAAACATGTTAAGATGGAAAATCGCACTTCTAATCACCCTATTGTTTGACATTATGTAATATTGGATCAATTGTTCTGATTTTATAATTTTAATCCCTAAATTGTTACACAACAACAACATTCAAGCCTTAGTCCCAAAAGATTTTGGGGTAGGCTAACATGAAACGATACATGATTTCGGAGCCAAAAAGTAAAGAAAGATAAGAAAGATAAAACGATAAGGTAAGATAAAAAAGATAAGATAAAGATAAATATAGAAATCTAAGATAAAGATAAGTATAAGATAGATATAAAAAAAGATAAGATAAAGAGGATAAAAGGATAAGGGAAAAGTGAGAGAAAATAGATCAATCCTCCACACGAACATTCGCCCTCCACTTTGTTTTCTTCAAAGTAATACTCTCATCCAACCCAAAAAGAAGCATATCACTCATGATTCCTCTAATGCATGTCTGTTTGGGTCTTCCTCTCTCACTCCCTCTCATCCCCACCTCGTCTCCCCACCTCTTCTCTCCATCTGTCCACTCGTTTAAATGGTGCATCACTCGATCTTCTATGTACATGATCAAACCATCACAATCGAGACTCTTGCATATTATCTTTTATAGGTGCTACTCCCACATTTTGTATGATTATCTCATTATCTCATTCATCAAGTGGTTTTTATGGTATGACCACACATCCAACGCAAGATGTGCATCTCATCTTTCGAATGTGACATTGTTTTGACCGCCCATCACTCTACTTCAAACAGTCATGTAGGTCTAATTGTTGTTCGATAAAATTTACCTAGAAATCCTCAATCACGTAGAAATCGTGACACGTTCTTCCATTTCATCCACTTGTTCTGATTTTATGGGATACAACTCCATCTAGTTCACCATTTTTTGAATTATGGAGCCCAAACAACAGAGCATATCGCAGACTGGTATTTCTACCTCACAAATGCTCAGTCTTGCTTCGACTCAGTCTAAAACCCTTGATCTCCAATGCTTGTCATCATACTTCCAACTTTGCTTTAACATTCAATTGTGTCTCATCAATCAACACACTATCGTCGACAAACATCATGCACCACTGTATATCTTCTTGAATTGACTTCATAAGTTCACCCATGACTTATTGCAAATAAGAAAGAACTAAGAGCCGATCCTTGGTGCACTTCGATAGTAATAAAGAACTTTGCGGTCCTCCTTACCTTAGTACGGACAATTGAACACTTGTAGTACAAGTCTCATACATATCCATGATGACGCCGATATACTTACGTGAAATGCCATTTCTAGTTAAGGCCTACCAAAGGACTTCTCGAGATACCCTAAATCATATGTCTTCTCTAAATCAATGAACACTAAATGCAGATTTTTTTAGTATATCTATACCAAGTTCCACAACTTGCCTAAAAAGGTGAATGACCTCAGTTGTTGAGCGACCAGGCATAAACCGATTTGATTCTCTGAAATATTCACACTTTTTCAGAGTCTTTGCTCAATCACTCGCTTCCCGAGTCTTTGATCCTTATGGCTTGTTTCACTTTATCATTCCACTAAGGTGTGTCCTTTTTTTGTGGCAGACATTCTTTGGGGTCTCCAAATATTTCCTTTACCAGTTTGTTAATGGTCCAACCACACATCATCCACATGTGCATCATTATCAATACACCACACATCATCACCCAACATTTTGTGCACAAAGCTTTGTTCGAGTCTCCACCACTTTATCTTTGGGCCCACTTGTTGCTTAACCCACCTATTATGCTTCTTATCTTGAAAATTAATCACAAGCATCCTATGTTGAGTGACAACTCTCACTTGGGATAATCTTACAATCATTGAAGCTAGTTCTCCAAGTAGTTTGTACTAAAAAGTAGTCAATTTGAGTATTATTAACTTCACTTATTTAGATCACAAGGTGAGAGTCTTTCTTCTTGAATCAAGTGTTCATTACAGCTAACTCATTTGTCAAGGTAAAATCCAAAATGTTCTTTCCCGCTTTGTCAAAATCATGTCCGCCTTGGATACTCTCAAAACAATCACGACTCGGGCCTAAATGCCCGTTGAGGTTGCCTCCTATGTCAACTTCTCTCCCCTTGAAACTCGTCTCACCACTTTTTCAAGATCTTCCCAAAATTGTTGAATGATAGATGCACCCAATCCCACTTGTAATGTGTAGTTATAGTTGAGATATAATTTCCTCTCATTAAAATTGTCATTATGTATCGAGGTTTTTGGTGTATTCCCTCCAATATTGGAGGCCCCCCATATATACTATAATATGATAATAGTAATACTTAATAATGTAAACGGGAGGGGCCAATTCTATAAAAAAAATATTACATTTGAGGGACTATAAGTTATGAAATCGAAACGGTAAGTTTGAGATTACATAATGCTGAACAATTGGAAACTTAAAGTGTAACTCTCCCCTTAGTAAGAAACCTTTGATTTTGCACCCTGAACCGTTTCAACGTAGTGCGTTAAAATTAAAAGAGTTCAGATGAATTCTAATCTGAAGTGCTAGGAGTTTTTTCCTAAGGAGGGGTATTTTTCAAACTTATTTCCCAAACTAGGGTACTTCTCAACTTATTTCTCAAATAGGGGTATTTTTTGCCATGTCATCTCATAATCACTGCAGCGCGCCACATAAGCTTATCCACATCTTCCCAACAATACACCACACATCTTCACCCAACATTTTGTGCACAAAGCTTTGTTCGAGTCTCCATCACTTTATCTTTGGACCCACTTATTGCTTAACCCCGCCTATTATGCTTCTTACCTTGAAAGTTAATCACACGCATCCTATGTTGAGTGACAACACTCTCACTTGGGATAACCTTACAATCATTGCAGTTAATTCTCCTAGTAGTCTGTACTAAAAAGTAGTCAATTTGAGTATTATTAGCTCCACTTATATAGATCACAAGGTGAGAGTCTTTCTTCTTGAATCAAGTGTTCATTATAGCTAACTCATATGTCAAGGTAAAATCCAAAATGTTCTTTCCCACTTCATTTCTAGTGTCAAAATCATGTCCGCCTTGGATACTTTTAAAACAATCACGACTCGAGCCTACATGCCCGTTGAGGTCGCGTCCTATGTCAAGCTCTCTCCCTTTGAAACTCGTCTCATCACTTTTTCAAGATCTTCCCAAAATTGTTGAATGATAGATGCATCTAATCAAACTTGTAATGTGTAGTTATAGTTGAAATATAATTTCCTCTCAATATGTACCAAGGTTTTTGACGTATTCCCTGCGATATTGGAGGCCCCCCATATATACTATAATATGATAATAGTAATACTTAATAACGTAAACCGTGGCTCTAACAGGAGAGAGGAGGGGCCAATTCTATAAAAAAATTACGATTGAGGTAAGTTTGAGATTACGTAATGCCGAACAATTGGGAACTTAAAGTGTAACTCTCCCCTTAGTCAGAAACCTCTGATTTTGCACCCTGAATCGTTTCTACGTAGTGCCGGGCGTTAAAATAAAAGCATTCAGATGAATTCTAATCTGAACTGCTTGGAGTTTTTTCCTAAGAAGGGGTATTTTTCAAACTTGTTTCTCAAACTAGGGTACTTCTAAACTTATTTCCCAAGTAGGGGTATTTTTTGCCATGTCATCTCATTATCACTACATCGCGCCACATAAGCCTATTCACATCATCCCACCAATTCCATGTCATCAATTTTGAGAGTTCAAGTGTGCTTCTAAAATATACAAAAAAATGAAGCCACCAGGAATCGAACTTGGGTGAAACGCAAGAAGGGCATGTATCTCAACATTATGAACCGCTTCACTACACCATTTACTTGTTAACTAACGCCTTTTAAGAACTTTAAATCATATATCCTTCAGTCCGGGAGTGCGCTATTTCTTATTCGCATGTATTATTCGTTCTTTTAGAAATATATTTCTTTCTTTTCCAAACATTTAAAAATATAATAAAAAACTTAATTTGAGTTATTTAATTAAAAAATAAAAACTTTATTAAACTTATAATAAAAAACAAAAAGTATAAAAAACATAATTTACAATATACTATCATCTGTTCCATAAAAGTTGCAACAGTTTGACTTTCACGTTTGCCAACGCGCAACTTTGACTGTAATTATATTTATTTACGTATTAGTAAACACTAAAAAAAGTTAATATATTGGAAATTTACATTAATACAAATTTATTAATATTTTATACATAATATTTTTATTATATATATTATTAGAAAATCGTAGTCAAAGTAAGGTGTGTGAATAGTGTAGAAATTCCAATGTTGCAACTTTTATGGAACGGAGGAAGTATAATTTTTAAATAAACTCAAAACGAAATGAAATAAAATATTAGTAAATTTCATGCTAGTCACTTTATCAATTTATTTCAGGCTTGCTCGACTCGGTCTCGGAACCAAGCATTTTTCTTATATCAATGTATCAAGTTTTTTCTTTCTCTTAGATGATTTTATATGATTTTTTTCACATGAATAATATCTGATTTTAAATTGAGGTGGGTTAGAGCCTTTCATGACGTTTGGTTATTATAAATTTTAATCAAGTCTTTATTTTTTAATTATCTCAAACCTAGTATTTTATGTTATTTTTTAATTATTTAAGAAAGAAGTTATACTCCATATATTTTTAAAGCAAATGTATACATTCTTGGACTTAAAGTATTTGTATTTCAAATTTCACTTAAAGTTAACGTGTAACAATTTAGTTCAAATTTGAGCATTGTATTTGAATTTGAATCAATAATAATTAATGCGAAAAATTTGAACCAAGGCCGAGTCAGAGAAGAGTTGAGCTGCTATAACGAAATAATCATAATGAAAAGCTTAATTTGCGAGATTTTTATTAAAAAAATAAAAAAGTAATTTAAACTTATAATAAAAACATAATTTGAAATAACTCAAAAATAAATAAAACAAAAAATTATTTGAAATAGCTCAAAAATAAATAAAATAAAAAATAAGTAAATTTCATGCAATAAGTAACTCAAAATATGAAATTTACTTATATTTTATTTCATTTCATTTGGAGTTATTCAAAAAAATACATATTGCAAATTATGTTTTTTCATTATAAGTTTAAATTAATTTTTTGTATTCTAAGTTAAATATTTATTGTTTTGTAATTATATATCGCAAATTATGTTTTTTATTTTAAGTTTTATTAAGGTTTTATTTTTTAATTGATTAACTCAAATTAAGTTTTTTATTACTCCCTCCGGTCTTTAATTAACTTTACACTTTCCTTTTTGGGCCGTCCATATTAAACTTTACACTTCTTTATTTGGCAAACAATTCTACAATCTACCCCCAAACAATGCAAAACAGTGCCAAACAGTGCCAAACAGTGTACTCTACAGTAAAGTCAAATTTATTTCCTTAATATGTATGAAGTCAAAGTGTAAAGTTTAACAAGGACCGGAGGGAGTATATTTTTAATTGTTTGGGAAAGAAAGAAATATAGATGGTATTTCTAAAGGAACAAATAATACATGCGATTAAGAAATAGCGCACTCCCGGATTGAAGGATATATGATTTAAATTTCTCAAAAGGCGTTAATTAACAAGTGACTGGTGTAGTTCAGCGGTTCATGATGTTGAGATACATGCCTTGTTTGCGTTTCACCCAGGTTCGATTCATTTTTTTGTATATTTTGGAAGCACACTTAAACTCTCAAAATTGATGACATGGAATTACTGTGATGATGTGGATAAGCTTATGTGGTGCCCTGCAGTGATAATGAGATGACATGGCAAAAAATACCCCTATTTGGGAAGTAAGTTTAGAAGTACCCTAGTTTGGGAAATAAGTTTGAAAAACATCCATCCTTGGGAAAAAAATCGAACTGCTAGTATGCTATTCTTAAGTGATGACATATAGGGAGCACACATGATAATGTGTACATGGAGTTCTTTATAGGGGAGGATGTCATACATTTTTATCACTCCTTTATAGCTGCTGATGACTTGCATAAATAATGAAATAAGGTCACTCTATCTGTAAGCAGCTGTTCTGTAGATTTGTAGTTACCAGCAAGTATGAATACCTTTGCTTGTTCCAGGTGGCGGTTCAATGGTTGGTGCCCTAGTTGGATCTACACAATGTGAACCACTTGTTGTAGGGAAGCCTTCATCTTTCATGATGGACTACTTATCAAACAAGTAGGTTCCACTTTACACTGTACTCCGTGTTATCTTAAATTATCCAGAAAAAATAGGTCTTTGCACCTCATGGTATACCCAAATATTTGACTTCGGATCAATGTTTATTTTTCTTTCAACATGCACCCTAAAACGCTCCAGATTGGGTGCAAAATATAATTGCAATGGCTTGCTTTGGGGTTATGTGTTACCATGCAGTGTAAAATCAAATGTTGGGATAAAACAGAAAAGGAAAAAGTACGGAAAAAGTACTTGGGGTTGAGCTCGTTTTCAGATAGGGTCATGTGTTTCATTCTTTATCAAAGTGGTTCATGTGTTTGAATTCCGTTATCACAAGAGGGTCACGCCGTTAAAAACGTCTGAAAGGGATCGTTAAAAATAACTTCGATTTTCAAAAGTGTCCGAAAAATTAAAAGAAAATACCGGAAGGTGTGCCTCAATAAGACGACCGCTAGGCCATCTTTCTTTTTTGTTATCAGCCACCATTGTCACCGGGAAGTCCATCAGAAAAGTGATATTAGCGAAATCATTTTTAAAAAATAATTCTGGAAAAATCCAAAGGCGAAGGTGGTTTGCATGTCATCTTGACAAGGAGCACCTTTCGGTATTTTTCTTTTAATTTTTCGGGCACTTTTGAAAATCGAAGTTACTTTTAACGGTCTTTTTCAGACGTTTTTAACGGCATGCCCCTCTTGTGATAACGGAATTCAAACACATGAACTACTTTGATAAAGAATGAAACACATGACTCTATCTGAAAACGGGCCCAACCACAAGTACTTTTTTCGTACTTTTCCCAACAGAAAAATATGATGTGAAGACCAATATTATTCCAAATCTACTATATTCATTCGTCTTTGGCCATGATACCTATTACATAGGTTCAAGATTGAGAAATCCCAGATATGCGTGGTGGGGGACAGACTTGATACCGATATACTTTTCGGGAAAAACGGTGGTTGCAAAACTCTTCTTGTTCTCTCAGGTAATAATCAAATACTCCGTATGTTTTTGGGGGAAATTGCACTGTTTGTAAGGCCGTCTCTTTCGTTCATTTTTTGTAGCGGTAGGCTTTTCGGTTTTCGGTTCGGTTTTCTTCGGTTTCGGTTTAATCGGTTTGATAGAAAATGTACCAAATACAAACCGATTAAGTTTCGGTTTGGTATGGTTCGGTTTGGAGTTCGGTTTAACAAAGTATTATGGTTTGGATTGAAATAATAAAAAAATAACTCAAAATAATGAACCAAGAAGAGATAGTAATGAACCAAATATAATGTTAGATATAAATGTGCAAACAGTAACAAAACGCATATGAACCAAAAATATATAAGCATGACACATTTGTAAGCAGCAACAACAACGGGAATGAATCAAATTATATATAAAGCTGAAACAAAAACAAAATTGGTGCTTGTAAGTAATGAACCAAACATATAGTAGTAGTAGATAATAAATTATAGTTAAATACTATCTACTTGAACCACTATAATTGTTATTGAATGTAACTCTTGTAGTAAACTCTAGTCCTGGACACTAAAATTAAAGAATTAAAGCTTCAAAAAGATTAACATCAATCAAATTAATGAGAGAAATCTTATATTTTGGTTTGGTTTAATTTGGTGTAAGTTGGTTTTGATTTGTTATTTTGAAAAAATAAGAAATTATTTCTTTTTTAGATTAGTTCGGTTTTATTCGGTTTTATGATTTCGGTTCGGTTTAATACGGGTTGGGAGGAATACTACCAAACTCAAACCAAATTACAAATGGTTCAGTCTTATGCCCACCCCTTATTTTTTGCATATCTAGTTCTTTACTTGTGTAACATGTTTTATATTATCATGGATACTTTAACAAACTCTAATTAATAGTCCAAACTTGTTTAAGCCTAGAAAGAAACAGAGTTTGTTATAGACTTGGGTCTACATCCACATGCTACGTTCTACATTTACAAAAATTAAAAGATATTGTTTTGAGTTATTATTATTTCAACTAAACAAACAGTACAACCTCATCTGCTTACCACTGTCTTTAACTGTTAAATTGAGTTGTGTTTCAGGTGTGACAAGTTTATCGATGCTGCAAGATCCCAAAAATGCAATACAACCGGACTTTTACACAAACAGTGTCTCTGATCTACTTTCTGTGTGACCTGCGGCGGTGCTGTACGTTGGAGGTAGAATTCGGATGGAGTAATTAGACCATCGTGCGGTTAAAAAAGAGTAACTTCACTTTATTACACTCACAGGAAGTACTTTTTATTTATTTCATCTCCTAGTCATATGTGTGCCGAATGGTTTGCCTCATAAAGTACGATTGTTCGAGCATAATCATCAACAAAAGTTTACTTTTTTAAAGATTTCATATAGAGAAAGGGCAAGTGACGGGTTGAATCTTTTCGATTTGAAATGATATTTTAATCGAGCTCGGCTATCTACATTCATAAACGTGACTGGAGTAACTGATAAATTACAGATTCGATGATGATTGATTTTAGCGTTTGCAATGCACAACCAGATGAAGGTGTGTGAATGGAGATGAAGTGAAAACATTATTTATTTTCGAATGTCTCAGCCTGTAAAAATGCAGGCAGATTTTAGATATTTAAAGTGCTTTGATCTGGACATACTGAAAGTGTATGTTAAGAAAGGGTGACAACCCTCCATTATCTGAAAATGACAATTTAAACATTCAAAAATTTCTAGTGCCTGGGCCTAATCCAATATCAATAGTTGGCTTATAACAAAACTTTAACTTTGCTTATTTTGCTGTGAGAAATTTTCTTTGTGAAATTTGCTTTGGGGAGCTTCCTTGTGCAATTCCTCATTTATTTCAATTTTCAAATGGTTTTTCAAAATTTAATATATGAGAACTTTCACAGTTTCACCTCACGGAGTACAATATGTTTAGAGCTTAGCCACGTTCCAAATGGAGCCTTACATATTTTAGATCCGAAGCAACTAAAATATTAATTTGTAAATCATTATTCCAACAATCCTCAAATGAATGGGAAATTGACTGAAGATAGATGGTATGTTTGGCACAACTAGCTGGAAAGATACTTTTATGAGTTTTTTAGTAACTGTTAGCTTTTAGTGACTGAAAAGATTTTAAAAAGAAAAGGCAGTAGCTGTTTGGTAAAAAGATGACTATTTGGTTTAGCTTTGTTTGGTATACAAGCTGTTAGGACTAATTAATTCTAAAAGCTACGGACTTATCTGAGATGTTACTCACTGTAGGATCTCAAAAAAGATCTTTTATTTTTATAAAAGTTCTTAAAAATTGGCGTGCCAAACATAAAACTAGAAGCTTTTAAAAAAACTTTTTAAATAATACAAAAGCTAGAAAACAAGAACTTATGTCCGCCAAACATAGTCATAAATAAACGAGTTTAGATAAATGAAGTCAGGGACTCTGGATTAGGGGTGGATTCGGGCCGGGTCGGGCCCGGGCCGGGCCTAGGCCCGGTCAGGCCGCCGGTTCTAAAATAGTGGGCCCGGGACCGGCCCGAGGGTTGGATGGGTCCGGTTCGGGCCGGGCCACCCGCCCGGGTCACGGGTCGGGCCACCCGCCGGGCCGGGTAATTTTTTTATTATTATTTATATTTTATACTATTTAGTTTTATACAAGTATTAAAAAACAAACTTCAAGTGCATTTATTTGAAATGAAATAGGAACTACATTTGAAAATTAAATAGGAACAATAATTGTTTTTAATCGGAATCTCCGGCATAAGTAGAGCCACCCTCTGTAGATTCATCCATAAAGTGTTGGGATGGAGTGATGTCAATTTCTTGAGCTCTACGTGCTGCTTTCAACCAATCGTGGTAGCATATAAGCATCTCAAGAGATTCAGCGCTCAACCTCGTTCTGGTTTGTGTTAGAACATTGCCGGCCGAACTAAATTCTTGTTCCACGACAACCGTTGAAACCGGCATTGATAGCACTTGCTTAGCCATCTTTGCTAAAACTGGGAACATTCTTTCTTTTCCCTTCCACCAGTTTAGTACGTCAAAATCATCATCTTCTTCAAAATCAACATCATAAGTTAAATACAAAGAAATCTCATTAATTGTGCTTTGTTGTGTAGCGGGAGTTGATTTTGTTTTTTTAATAAGATTGGCAAACGTAGATTTGAAAATTGATTTTCCTTTAGATGATGTTTGTGTCGGGGGAGGGGGCGCATTGCCATATTGTGCATTAAACTCATTGAATAATGCATAAAATATATCACTAACCTCGTTGTATTCTTTTTTCGGATCAATTGGGTTGTCCTGATACATTGGCAATGGACCAAAAAAAGCAGCATAATAATAATTCAAACATTCTTCTAAAGAACCAAGTCTAAAACGAGGATCGAGAACAAATGCAATACCATAAATATGCGGAATATGTGAATAATATTTTAAAAACTTTTCCTTCATAAAACCAGCAAAATAATTCACATAATCAGCATTCTCAAAATTTGAAAAAGCATCGGCGAGATTAACAGCTTCACGAATAAATTGGTTTGAGGTAGGTTTATAAACATGACTAAAAGTTTCAGTTGCATTATTAAAATATATCAAAGCATTACAAATTTTTTCACAGGTGTCGATCTCAGCCGAGTTTATAATATAGTTATCATATTGTTTCATAAAAACAGGAAAATGTTGTTTATATCTAAGAAGAACTCCAATTAACTTATAGGTACTATTCCAACGAATAGACAAATCTTTTGGAAAATTTTTTCACAGGTGTTGTTCGGTTGCGCTCGAGGTTACCCATATCAACCGAATATCTAGGACGATCCATCTAAAAAATGTAGCAATTAATAAAAAATTGTAAAAAACTAATTAAGTATTTATCTAACTATTAATTCGAGTTATATCAAATTAAGTAGTGAATTAACTAGTTTTGTGTACAACATTATTTTTAAACTAGAGTCAAATGTAGCAATTAATAAAAAATTGTAAAAAACTAATTAACTATTTATGTAACTATTAATTCGAGTTATAGCAAATTAAGTAGTGAATTAACTAGTTTTGTGTACAACATATTTTATAAACTAGAGTCAAATGTAGCAATTAATAAAAAATTGTAAAAAACTAATTAACTATTTATGTAACTATTAATTCGAGTTATAGCAAATTAAGTAGTGAATTAACTAGTTTTGTGTACAACATTATTTTTAAACTAGAGTCAAATGTAGCAATTAATAAAAAATTGTAAAACACTAATTAACTATTTATGTAACTATTAATTCGAGTTATAGCAAATTAAGTAGTGAATTAACTAGTTTTGTGTACAACATATTTTGTAAACTAGAGTCAAATGTAGCAATTAATAAAAAATTGTAAAAAACTAATTAACTATTTATGTAACTATTAATTCGAGTTATAGCAAATTAAGTAGTGAATTAACTAGTTTTGTGTACAACATTATTTTTAAACTAGAGTCAAATGTAGCAATTAATAAAAAATTGTAAAAAACTAATTAACTATTTATGTAACTATTAATTCGAGTTATAGCAAATTAAGTAGTGAATTAACTAGTTTTGTGTACAACATATTTTATAAACTAGAGTCAAATGTAGCAATTAATAAAAAATTGTAAAAAAACTAATTAACTATTTATCTAACTATTAATTCGAGTTATAGCAAATTAAGTAGTGAATTAACTAGTTTTGTGTACAACATATTTTATAAACTATAGTCAAATGTAGCAATTAATAAAAAATTGTAATTACAAGTGTAAATAATAGAATAATTTCGTACCTCTTTCGGACTTTCGGTCTTTCGGATGGGAGTAATAGAATGACTTCAAATTAATTAGATATAATTCCAACTATATTAATAGATATAATAAATATATAAGTAATATATAATTAGATAACAAATATAAGTAATATAATATTATAATACTATTTATATCTATTTATAGTTTATATAAGTAGATAATTAATATAAACTATAAATAATAAATATAATATATTGGAGAATGGAGAATAAGAGAATTAGAGAGTAGAGAGTTAAGAATAGGATTTAGGAAGAATTGGAGAAGAGATATGAAAAAATGTTTAAGATTAGGGGTATTTATAGGTTTTTTACCCCCCACCCCCCCCACCCACCCCCCACCACCCAACCCCCCCGGACCCCCCCTATAACCCACCCAACGGCTATATAGCCGTTTGGGTTGTCCCCAGCCCCACCCCCAACGGCTAGTAGGAGCCCAACCCAATTTTTTTTTTTTTTTAAAAATTGATCGAACCGGACCCGGGCCCGACCCGGCCGGGCCGGGTCACAAAATTCTGAACCGAGCCCACCCCGCCCCTTCCCCCCGGTTCGGGCCCAGACCCGGTCCCGGGCCCGCACAGTACCGGGCCGGGCTTGGTCACGGGCCGGGTGGCCCGAACCGAATCCACCCCTACTCTGGATCATGATAAGTAGTCGTGAAATTTTGGAACTCTTACCTTATTCTATAATATATATCCATTGGGTTTACTCAATAATCATTTCAGCCTTAAATTGTTTGTTGCCGCATAAATTTTGTAAATAAATAATACATAGGGCCAAATGTGCATTTTTGGTTCTCATGTTTGTGTTCGTTTTGGCCTTGAACACTTCCTGATTTAACTAGTATTTTAGATAGTTTATCTCGTATCATAGACTTCCATGGAAGTGGCCCCTTCTCATGAACATATGTGATCTCTATCGAAAGTATCATGTCATCTACTTGAACGCATGAAGTTATAAAAATCATTAAAAATTTAACTTACTTTAAGTCCACTTGACATGAGTGTACTAAAATCTTGGTTAGTAGCCCTTGAGACGTGTCCACAATTTTATTTTCCATTTGAACCTAATTATGAGGCACTCACAATAACAGATAGGGTTTCTCCATGAACTTATTGGACCAGTAGTCATAGGCGCATCACTCTCTTTGACATTTCAACCAACTTTCGTGACAGTGCTTTAGTTAACAGGTCCTAATATTTTCTTTTGACTTAACGTAGTCAAGAGAGACGATCTCGTTCTTTAAAAATTTTCAAAGGGTATTGTGTTTGCGATGGATGTGACTAGACTTAGGGGGTGTTTGAAATTGATTCTGTTTCTGCTTCTTTTTAAAAAAAACAAAAGCTGAATCAGAATAAGTTTTTCAGAAGCTGGTCCCCCACATCTTCTAAAATACTGATTCTAAGAGCAATTTGAAGCACCCAGAAGTACTTCTGCAGTTTCATCCAAACACTTCAATATCTGATTCTACTCTTTGAAGAAGCAAAAGCAATTTGAGAAGTAGATCCAAACACCTCCTTACTATTATACACAATCTCCCTTGCTCTTCCAATTGCAGTTTGACTATCACACAAAATGCATATTGGAGGGACATGTTTTCTCCAACGAGAAAGATCTTTCAAAAACTCTCTCAACCATTCTTCTTCTCGGGTCTTATCTTAGGCAATGAATTAACCTTTTATAGTGGATCTAGCAATACAATTTGTTTGGGTGATTTCCTTGACACAACACCACTTCAAAGGGAAAACATATCCCCTTGTTGATTTAGTGTCCTCGAAATCAGATATCCAATTTGAATCGGTGTATTCTTCAAGTACAGCTGGATACATATGATGATGTAATTTAATGTTTTTGGTGTACATCAAATATCGTCTTACTGGGTTAATTTGAAAACCGTCTTAGCTTATTCACTA